GGGAGCGTTTCACACATAATTTTTTGCTATTGTTTGAATATGTGCATATCGGAAAAACAAAAGGAATACGGATATTTAGATTTCAAATGTTCAACATCATAACAGCACACTCGAGCTTAAAAAACAATTCTTACACTTAAATTAAACAACAAGTCCCCAAAATAAATCTACATGCCATGTAAAAATTATGACACTTTCCCCGTCATGTCAGCTCAAGTCTTCACTTCAATGCAGAGAAGTTAGTACAGTTTGAACAGTTTGATATTTTACATGGCTGCGTCAGCCTTGTGAAGCAGAATGCAGGAATATGTTGAAGGAGTCAAACTCTGTTATTGTCCTGATGGATATGATATTATCGGAAGCACATGTTCAAAAGGTTACTCACAAACTTTGATCGGTCCTTGCAGTTTTAGTTCCAATATAAATTTCATGTTGATGAATTTTCAGTCTCTTTTGAGGAAATCTCGATTTTGTAATCCTAACGAGTATAATCATTTGTTTTACAGTGATTTATAATGTGAATCGATTTATCGCAAAAGGGATTAGTTTCAGTATATAAACCTACAGAAGCTCAAGCACCTAAATTCAAATGTTTTTGTTAGTGTTAGTGTTTTCTTAAAGTGGGTCAAACTCCATTGTCAATGTTAATGTCATTAGATCAGTATAAATGGAATTATTGAAACATTATGGCCAAGTTTTAAATTTAATAAAAAGATTAAACTCTAAGGTCAAGGTCAAAAAGTTAAACAATTTTACACCATGGAAAGGTCTTGTTGCGATAAATACACATGTAAAAATTGAAAACCCAACACCAACTGTTCAAAAGTAAAACTAGGCACGTTTTTGTTAAAGTGGCTCAAACTTCAAGGTAAGAAGTTAAAAATGTTAGGACCTAAATGAAGGTCCTGTCAAAAGAAATACACATGTGAACTATGAAAGCTATCACCTGAATCATTTAATCAAAGACTATGATAAAAACTAATGCTTTTGCAGAAAAACAACTACATGTAGACTGGCGGACATTACAAAAATTATAGATAACATTGACACCTTGAGAATAACTTAAAATCCTGATGATATCACAATGTTTTTGAAATTGGAATAACATCATCAGTCCGTATACTGATTGTTTGATATCATAGTAAGCGGCAAAACTAAATTTTAAAAAATGCAAATAGGGTTGCAAAGACTTTATTTCTTCGGGGTTTAGATTTGCGAAGTCCCCAGAAAATTAGTTAAATGTATTTTACTTACAGAAGCATTAAAAAAAAATCTGGAACACTTTCTTTTGAATCGGCTTACTAGTATTTGTATGTAAGAAAAAATTGATAACATGATTATCTAAACCATTGAAGCAAACTTGTCCCGTTTAAGACTTCGTTGTGCCTCCGTAATTAAGGATTAAATGGTATTTGATTTTCGTCCTTGCGTCTGTATGTGTCAAAAACTTTATCCTTGACCAAAACGTTTTATTATTTGGAGCAATGGCTTTTATATTTCACATGTGAATTACTTTTGACCAAACCTTTCTTTGAATATGACATAATTTGGCCTTGTGGCCTTGAATTTGAGGTTTGGTACACTTTTTCAACAAAGATAATTATCAAACTTTCACCTTGACCATAACTTTTGTACAGTTTGTGTCATTTCTACAATCCATTTGGAAAAAATCAAATTTGAATTTTTGGTTTTGACTTAAGAGTTTTACGTTCAAAACTTTTGTATCTATTCGTACACACATTTTCCCAATTGGTCTCATTAATTTCGACCTTTCAATTATACCTTAGATTTTTTTTACCTAAATCTGTAAAACATATAACTAAGTCATAATTTAAGAACGGATAGTGCTAGGGCTTTCATATTTCACGGACATATTTATTTAAACAAGTCCTTTCTTTGAGAACATTCTTTTATCTCGACCTAGGAGTTTAACTTATAATAGGTAAACTTTTACATTTTTCATAAGCTACTATACGGTAGCACAAGTGTTTTACAATCACATTTTGTTTGATTTTAATATAGTCGATAAAGTCATCGGAGAGTATTGCTTTTTAACTATTTTCATTCCCAGTAAAGTCTCAGTGAAATCTTATTCAGCCAACAGGATGTTGTACGAAGATTGTATACTAGATGATCAGTGCAATGGAACATCTGGTGCCAGTGTCTGCAAAACAGTTAGAGACAAAGGATTATGTGTGTGTGCTTCAAACTACATAGAAGACAAGGATACACTGAGGTGTCGTAGAGGTAAAATAATTTATGGACTAGAATATTTTAAGATAACATATCGACGAATTGAATTCCGATTACATCCTAATTCCGTCTGCATATCGACTTGAATCTTATACAAAGAGCTTGATAAAAACTAAATTACATAATTGAATTTACATGCACATTGTAAAATGCACGAAGTTTGCGCAAAATTCGCTCTATATCGTGCTTATTATCAGTCTTTTTTTTTATTGTTTTTTTAAATTCCAATAAGTTTAATAGTATATTTTCAACGATATGTTTATCATAATTTACTAACTACCTCATGTCAATATATTTTTCCATGATGGGAAAGAAGTCTTTTCATTTTATTCATCGTTTCAGCCGAAAAGCATGTTTTTGATACCTGTAAAATTGATGAGCAGTGTACGGGTACAGAGAACGCTGGAGTCTGTCGTTATGATGAACAGATGGAGAGAGATGTTTGTGTTAAACAATAAAATGCTTTCCTTGTTTGTTGTTACTTGAATGAACGGAAGCAGCTGTTGCAGAAAAAATACATAACCCGCGTAAGCGGGTTATGTAAATTTTTTCTGCAATAGCTGCGACCGTTCATTCCAGTAATAACAAACAAAGAAAGTCATTTTATTGTTTATATTTATATCTGTTTAAATTATCATTTTAAGTAGGATTTAAAATATTAATTATTGTGTTAATGATGCGAACGTCTTTGTACGTTTCATTGATGGAACGGCCACTGATCAAGAAATCTGTACAGGTGATATGCCTAATGTAGTTCATGCAGTGATGAACGCAATGGATTTTCTTAAGAAATAAAGAAGAAAATATTCAGTGGATGTAAATATTTTGCAATGAAGGCTATATTTGGCATAAAGCAAAGTGTATACAATGTAAGTCTTACATTGTCATACATATTTCACTATAAACGAGAGAAACGTGCCGACGCCTGTCATTTTACGTGGGGCCAGGTTTTATTCATAGGAACTTTAAAGTGCTGAGCGCTAGGCAAATGAACGGTTGCTAGGTATTTTATCCACTTGTGCCAAGGCTTGGTTTCGAACCTATGACTTTTTGATCACGGAGCAAGCGCTTTTTTCCAAAAGAAAAAAAAGTTAGGTAGACTTTCAGTCAAAAGAGGTTCAGGAATAGATATATCACCGTTACGTGAATTAAAAACCAATCATTATTGGTTATTACTTTTGCCTTTGGATTAGTGAAATATGTGTAGATAACGAACAGTATTCGAGAACGAAAGTCTATTAAGCAATAAAAAATGGGAGCAGACTAAACACGGAGCTCCAAAATATCAGAAATGGGATTATGTACCATGGAGGAGTGAGCATCCACTGCCAACCGGCCACACCCGCCGTGTATTGCTTGGGAAAAAGGGGGAAATTCAATGACAACCCAATGTGTAAATAATTGCCCCACAATCAGTATGGAAAATTTCAAAAAAATAAATATACGAGGGTTGATCCAAAAGTAATGTCACTGTGTCCATATCTTTAATATTTGGCGTCATAGTATCAAATATAATGCACCAAAAGATGCATAAACATAAATCTAATCAAAATCAAAAATTTCATTTAATAATGTTGACTTGAATTCATTTTATGGATGTTTAAAACATTAAACATAGGGGGTTTCGCCGCGTCACAACTAAACGTCACGTTTCCAAGTTAATTTTGTTAGAATGAAAAAAGACAAACACATTAAAAAAAACATCTAAAAATCGTCTAATCGTCCAATATTTTTAAAGACAAAATTAATGACATTTTCTAATCTTTAGTTACAAATTAAATGACAGCATTGTTTTTTTTTTTCATCATAAATAGCATTGTTAATATCTGATGTATTGCAGAAAGGAAATGTCGAAATGGAATAAAACACCGAAACAAGTTGTAATGTATTTTTCCTTCAAAATCGGGAAATCATAAGTAAAAACGGTTATAAATATATGATGGTAAATCAAACTCGCAGAGGAAAGGATGTTAAAGAGAGACTCGTTCAAGGATGGTTTCAGAGATTTTGGGCGGGTAAAAGGTAAATAAATGATCATTTGGGGACAGAAATACCGAAACATAAGAGGTCGGATGGAAACGTTCAATGGCGTCGACGTTGTCGTAAAAGAGATTAGTGGTAGTTTGAGTGATGTGAAACACTTTTAAGTTTGTCTTATGGTATTGTTCAAAGAATTTTGATGAAGGATTAAATTATAGAGAAAGTGTACAATAGGTGCCAATTGTTCTTAAAGAAAAGAAAATATTTGAATGTTTTGTGAATATCAATCTTTTTTAAATAAAACGATGGGAAGGCGTTTTTAAAAGTGTGTGACGGCGCATATCCGTTTTATGACGTTATTTAGGTGCGGCGACTACCATAATCGCACTTTACGTTTAATACGATATTTTGAAAAGTATAATTCGCTTTGATTTGAATTTTTCAGGACTGATTTAAAATAAATATAGCTTCCATCATGTAAACTTTTGTTAATTTACGTCGACTAGGAGAAATTTTATCGAAGTTGTGACATTACTTTTGGATCAACCCTCGTATATAGATATAGTTAAAATTACACGAAAATGTTTTTTTTTTTCAGAAATATATGATTGTTTAGAATTTGAACGCAGTACACAGTTCGTGCCCTCTTATATTTTGATCCAATGCAAAATTAAAAATGATCTTTACAATTTCAGACCCTTTGAAAACTTTGAACATATGAAGGATTAATTTAACTCTCTCACTGTAGCGGAGAGACTTTTATTTGATACCTGTGAGTACGACGTACAGTGCAATGGGACAGAAGGTGCAAACAACTGTACAACATTCGGGGAAAGGAAAATATGCTTTTGCAAAACTGGACACCTTGAATTTCAAGGACGATGCATTGCAGGTTAACTTTAATAATTGTGTTTTGAGATCAAAATTTAATCTATTTTTTTGAAACTGATGTTGCACGGCCTTTTTTAAAAAAATCTTCAGGGAAAAGACATTTAGGTGATCCATGTGAGATAACCAAACAATGTTTGAATGAAGAAGATACATGTAATGTTATATGTGGTAATAATTCGTCATGCTCATGTAAAGATGGATATTTCGAAGTTGGACAAGAGTGTCTTAAAGGTAAGATTTGTTAGAATTTTAAATGTTCTTTTCTACTTTTCCAGAGCCTAAAACTTCTTTCATCTTTTACAGTTCCTGACAAGGGAGTCCGAAAAAGCATATATTATTTAAAAATACTTTCTCAAATCACCAAATTTAAACAAAATCAATCGCTACAACCGTGTTATTTTTAATACTTAATATTCAACCATATCCTCCGACTACCGAAAGATCACAATTTTTGGCATACCTATTCTTAAAATAAAAAGCTGGATAATATAATATAACCCTCCATCGTGTTCATGTTCTTCTTCGCCCTATAACAATAGTTCTGCTGGACACGTTTTTACAGGTGACGTAAATATAGTTAATATTGAGGACCTAAGATCACCTATTTTAAAAGGTCCTAAGTATAGGGAACCCCGGTCCTTCAATTGGCGTCGGAATTTCATAAATATTATGGATTCTGTTGAAAATTACGCCAGAATGTCAGAATGGATTAAATATATTAGATCCATGTGAAGGTCGCGTTTTAAAAGATTGAGGGGCAGTATGAAAACCATCTATCCTTCTGTGTTCAATAATCCAGAAGTGGAAAAAGAATTAGATATATTACATGATCAGTACGTACTGGTCCCTGCCGACAAAGCAGGTAACAACATTGTCTCCGTTTGTAAGGCTCATTATATAAATTGTATTTTAGAAGAACTTGGATTTAATTCTACAAGTTCTTCCGTTTCTAAGGAAGAAATTCTTCAAAATCAAATGTCAGTTTTAAATAGTTTTAATATTCCACAGAGACAAAAGAAATTTGAACTACCCTATATATATTGGATTCCGAAACATCATAAAAATCCTTACAAACAAAGACAAATTGCGGGTTCCAGTAAGTGTTAAACCAAACCTCTTTCGTTACTCCTTACTAAGATATTGACAGTAGTGAAGGAAAAACTTCAGGAGTACTGTGCAACAATATATTCAAGAAGAGGTGTGAATCAGATGTGGATACTCAAAAACTCCAAAGGACTTTTAGACAATTTTAAAATCATAAGATTTTACCAAAATCAACAGCTTAAAAACTTACGACTTTTCAACTTTATATAAAACCATTCCCCACGATAAATTAAAGTCCAGGCTTTTTGATATCATTAAAAGCTGCTTTTTCAATAGAAATGGAACTCGGAAATTTACTTACCTCGTCATTGGTCATTTGCAAAATTATTTTATTAAAACGCATTCTGATTGCACACACAAGTACTCTGAAGTTGACATTAAAGAGATGCTAGAATTTCTGATTGACAATATTTGTGGTTTTTGGAGACATATAACAAACTGTTGGAATTCAGAATTTGTTAGCAAAATATAAAGCAGAATTTGTGCAAAATCTTGTGCATGAAAAGAAGAAAACACTTGCTGTGGCCTTCAAATCGAAATTTAGATACAATACGACGTATTGTCAAATAACAATGGTAATTTCCATTCCTACGTCTATATGATATATCCTAGTGAGCTTGAAATAAAAGATACCACAGAGTCTGACACATCTGTTTCATACGTGGATATTTTACTTGAAAAAGACGATAATGGTAGTCTAACAACCAAGCTATATGATAAATGTGATGACTTTAACTTTCTATCGTCAATTTCTCTTACTTATGCAGCAATATATCTTCATCACCTGCATACGGAGTGTATATATCTCAGTTGATTCGATACGCAAGAGTTTGCTCTACGTATAAATAATTTCTAAAGCGAGGTAAGTTAATGACAAGCAAGTTGATGAAACAAGAATATCAGCCGTGTTGTTTAAAGTCATCATTTCGTAAGTTCTAAGGTCGATACAGTGACCTTGTCAGCAAATACAATTTATCGCTGAGTTAAATTCCACGTTTTCCATACTAATTGTAAGTCCATTATAAATACACTGAATTGACGACGGATTTTACCGTTATTTCCTGATCATGACAAGGAGCACACGGCGGGTGTGACCGGTCAGCAGGGGATGCTCACTCCTCCATTGCACCTGATCCCACCTCTGATGTTTCGGAGGTCCGTTTTTGCTCTGCTCTTATTTTGTATTGTTTTATGGACTTTGAGATTGAATACTGTTCGTTATCTCCATATCCTTCTTCATGCATACCTTGTCATGACTTAGTTGTAAAAGAGTTTTGTTGGCCACCGTCTTGTTCAGACACAATTACTTTAAGGTTGATATGACAAAATGCTTCAGTAATTGATAATAACTAGGCTATTTTAGACGTAGTCTCACAAACCTTCCAACAATCTGCTATTCTGAATTTTCATTCAGTTTTCAGATTGATGTAGCACTACTGCTTTTGTATGCATACACTTTTTAGGAATCAAAGCTTGTAAAATAATTTTAATATGAAGACCTTTGCTGTGGGTATCAATTTGACATTTCGATATATCACAATTTATGAATAAAAAAACATTTCTTTTTCTATTTGTATGCAATTCATGAAAAAAGAAGATAACGTACCAATTTGCCAATTTTAAAGACAACACAAAGAAGAAAAATAGGTGAACAAACGGAGTAGTTTTGAAATTCCCAAAACTCGGATTATAGGTGCCTAGGATTGATTGTTTGATTGATTGACTATTTGTTGTTTAACGTCCCTCTTGGGAATTTTTCACTCTTATGGAGACGCAACCGCTAGCTGGTGGACACTTACGGCTATTGAGCAGTGAGGAGTCTTTTTCGTGCCAGCGCCTTCTGCTACACGGGACCTCGGTTTAAACAGTACCATCCGAAGGACTAGTCTCCATGTCCAACAGTGGGACTCGAACCTTGGCGATGTTAGAGCAGACGCTCTAACCACTGCCCTAGGTTCTTAGTAGGACTTTGCATCCTTTATTATCTGGTTACAGCCTTTTGACATTTTGCACATATTACCAGGTGGAACATTAGGTCTAAAAATTACTTATAGAAATATCACCGAATCGTTTCCTTATTACCGGTATGGATTATATTTATGTCAAGGTCATTATGAAAACCATAGATTTTAAGAAATGTTACTAAAAGTTGTTTATAAAAATGCCTCCAATGTCATGCAAGTATCGACAATATCTTGATTTAGCTAAAATTATCATCATACTTGGAGATACAGATGTGGAATGAGAGTTGAAATGGATGTAAATTTAACCTGAGCACATGTGTAAACAAATACAGGACTTTTAACATCAGCTATGCCTATCGGAAAATTTAAAAGAGGTAATTAAAGGCACTTAATATTCTACGTAAGACAAATTAGATATACAGTAAAAACCAAACCGTCACAATACCAAAGACACAACAGTTGCAAAGGTCAGTGCAGTATACAAACAAATACAAATATACGTGTAGCTGCAATAAAATGTAAACAAAGGAAATGCAAGATAACCAGCACGAACACCATTCCACACCGATACCCATGACAATGAAGCAGTCAGATGTAATGAATGTGAAGAATTTACCCTGGTATTGATTTATTGCGTAGATTATGATATTGAAAGTGGCATATATCTATTTACGAGTCGTGTTCAGCTTTAAAATATTATACACTGTTATACTCTCTCTCTCTCTCTCTCTCTCTCTCTCTCTCTCTCTCTCTCTCTCTCTCTCTCTCTCTCTCTCTCTGTGTGTGTGTGTGTGTTATATTGTGTATTGGTATTTGTACATCTTTAAATACTGTAGAAGTACTTTTTTCCGCGTGGTATAAATTTACGCTAGGTACGCGGTCACAACTTTTCCGCGGAAATTTGTCCAAGCGTACTTAATAAAATGTAAGGCATATAGTGACAGTCTAAGAAATCCGCGTAATTTTCTACACGCGGATTACACAGAAATTGAGATTCCGCGGAATTATGACCTCGCGGAAAAAAGTATGTCTACAGTAGCTTATTTTGGGAAAATAAAAAGGGTATGTTTACTTTTAGGGAATCTTTCGCTGGGTCAAAGTTGTGTAGAATCATCACAGTGTACGGGGACTGAGGACAGCGGACGATGTGTAGACGGGCAGTGCTCTTGTGAAATGGGATTTCATCTTTACAAGCGGCAGTGCATTCCAGGTGTTTAATTATTTTTCACAAAGAGTATAAGAATTACATTTTAGTCATGTTAATCAAGATTTCGTACAGTATTATTCAATATTATAATAACTGCTTTAAATTGGGTCAGATTCTTTAAAAAACGTAACCTTTACCAATTTAGTAAATGGGTGACCTTTGCAAATCAAGAAAACAATACTTTACAGCAATAACAATTTATTTACAAATGTACAAAAATTCAAAATGGAACCCGGGCTCCCGTGTCTTCGAGGCTTAAGAGACATCATAAGCATGGCGCACACAATGTCACAGAAAAATCACTTACATTTCTCCCAAAACGAAGAGCCACAGTCAAATAACATATCTGCCGGAAGTACCAATCATCACTGGAAGTAGACGTCATCAGACGCGGAAAATTCCCTGGTAACGTAGTATTGGGATCATGGTACACTGTGTACATCAATAAAAATGTCACCTCATTAAAATATTGAACAACATCATATATAATAAACTAATCTATCTAACATCATAAATTCTTACTAACACGCCTAATGTATACATGTGACAAAAACTGTAGTACAGATATGGTCTTCCATGACTACTCTTGTATTTAAGTATTTAAATCTATAAACAAGGTAATTTAACTCTCGTATCAGAAAGAAATGTACACAAAAAAAAAACTAATACTTTCGTTTTACACGTCTAAGAAAATCAGGAAAATAACACCCACTTTTAGTCGCTCACACTCTTACAAACAGCTGACAAATGCCAAAACAAAAGGTTCACCACACAGGTTTCAAATACTACTAGTAGTCAAAACAGGTTTCAAACGGTCCACACAGGTACCAGAAATGCACCCCATTTCCACACAGCATAGGGGCCGCCCAATTCACTAAGTATGGGTCATTATCTCACACCGTCGAAACAGTTTGGTGTTCAGAACTTAATTATTTGACAAACCTGGACAAAATCCCTGGATAAGAGTAAGTATTAATACCATCAAACTTGACAAAAAGGTTTACCAAGCGAGGCTGCAGCTCTTCATAGTATAATTCGGTGACTATTGATGCGTGCAAGTAAAACACTCCAATATGTATGAAAGAGCATTTGGAGTAATATTTACAATATTGTGACAAACATGATTTATTTTAATAGTTGATTGATTAAAAGCAAGTTTTGAGAACTGACAGAAAATCAATACTAGTAATTAATACTATTTATGCGTTAGATAAGAAGTTAAGACAAATATGCGTATATTGATTGATTGATTGTATACTGTATAACGTCCCTCTCCAGAATATTTCACTGATATGGAGACGTCACCATTGCCGGTGAAGGGCTGCAAATTTAGACCTATGCTCGGCACTTATGGCCTTTGAGCAGGGAGGGATCTTTATTGTGCCACACCTGCTGTGACACGGGGCCTCGGTTTATACGGTCTCATATCCGAAGGACCGCCCCATTTAGTGGCCTTTTACGACAAGCAAGGGGGTACTGAGGACCTAGTCTAACCCGGATCCCCACGGGGTCAAATATACAGTATATAAATTATCAGTATATGATATAATTTTCAATACTTCAGATGTTTTACCTTAGGTTTGCAAATATACAGTATATAAACCTAAGATAAAACATCTGAAGTATTGAAAATTATATCATATACCGATAATCTTCCAAAGTTATACAAAGTCTATAACTTATTCTTAATATTTCTGCATTGTGATATTATTTTTTATATTTTGTGCATTTATATAAGTAGAAATATTATTTTTATCGCATTCTTTTGACCTTAAAGTAACTATTCTAAACACTCTAAGGAAAGAAACACCTGTTTCTATTGGTTGGTGCTGGTGTCCTCCTCCTTGTGATAACGGTATCAATCATAACTTGCCTCGTAGTGTGTAGAGGAAAATTGAAAGCGCGGAGTGGAAGGTATTTTTCTTCTTGGTGTATATAACAATTTGAAAACAAATCCTGAAATATACGTTGTTAATATATTTCCATTGATTTCTTGATGTAGACTGGTTGTTCATACAACTGATAATGTACTAGAGGATCATAACTACTACACCTATGCTACCCATGGCAACATCAGAGATACAATGGTTAGCTGGAAACAAACAAAATAAATTACAATTTCTCACTTTAATTCCATATTTACTTCATTAAAAACATTCAAATTTGCTTTACGTATTTAATGCTTTCAGGAAAGTCAAATCCCTCTAAGTCACAATGATTGCAGTTATACCGGGGATACACTTTACGACACAACTCACCACGCAGAGGAGCAGACAACGGAAAATTTGTATGACGTCAGTGAACCGCTGTCCACTTTTAGAGACCAAGCCTCCTCTGAGGGCGTGTATATGTACAACCACCTGCATGATAAAGAAACAGCTGTGTGAAAATCTATATGACGTCACAGAGTTACCTATTTCTCCTAAAACCAACGCATAAAAGGATACATGTATATTGCGAGGTTTATGTCAAAGACAAATACAAAGTGATCAGCAACTTTACATGTTTTTTTAGGCTCATATTCCAATTAATTAAATGTGAAATTTAGACTATTGATATATAACATGTATGGGCTTAAATATTTTTTTATGAAATGAGGACAAGTACTATAATTTTTAGTATGACTTTTGATTTAAATTGTACATGTATGTCATGTACTTGACTAGTACTGAAATTTATTTTTATCTACAAGTTTTTTTTAAAAATATATAGTTATATATCCTTTAGGGAAGGAGGTATGTTATTGATCATGTTGATATATTAAAAAATCTGAACTATTAGCTAACTTAAAAAAATGAGAAAAAAACTATCGAAATTTGCCACAATGCATCTTCAGTTGGAGGAGATTCGAGGTTTTTTTCTTTTTTAATAAAGGGCTACATGTACACCTTCTTCCAAGGGGAGATTGTCATGAATCAGTGAAAAATTTATGGCATTTTTTTTTTCTCAAAAACCACTTGGCCAAAAAAATATCAAACTTATAGCAAAAATTCTTTACATAGTGCAGATTCAAATTTGCTCAAATAAAAAGGCCCACGGTGGAAGATAGGGGCCACAATGGGAGATTGAGTTTTACATATGTAGAAATAGGAAATAATATCATATCTTTTATAATCTTCCCAAGAACAGAAGAGTCATGTTTAGTCAAATTGATAATATGCAAATTAATGAATTTTTATAATCGCTTGAAAAAAATCCAGTTACCCGAGGGGGCCAATAATCAGGTATAATGTTTACTTCCAATGAAAAAATATATAGAGGATATTCAATGTTATGTAGTTGAATATGGAATTTACTTCACGAGGGGACAGGGTTTTTTGATATTTTCACGAGCGCGAAGCACTCAAAAAAATCCAATCTCACGAGTGAAATCAATTCCATTTTCAACTACAAAACATGAATTTTCTGTTTATTACATTTTCTGTGATTTTCCCTTTGCCTATTTGTCTTTTTGTATAGATTTACAGTCATAGGCTATGACGTCATAGTTGAGCGGTTGAGACGTCATATTTAAGTTATACGAGATAGAAAACATTACGCAGGTAGGTTAAGGTTACAACCAAATATTCTACTTGCCTATATGATATGACGTCATAGTAAGCTATATGACGTGAAGTTTAGAGATAACAATTTCTTATAATCGATATCTAAGATTGATTTGAGGTCGTAAAAATTAATCAAAATATACAGAGGCATAATATAAACGAAATTTTGTCGTTTCTGGGTCTCTGTAGTTATCACAGGGGTTAAATACCAAACCCATGACGTCATAACTGTTGATCATGCAGTAGCAGAGTGAAAGTGAAACGTAACGAGAATTCATGTAAACAAACACAAGAAATCGGAGTTTAAAAGCATTTAGAATGAATATCATGTGTGATTCATGTGGGAATAAAGCTTATGAAAAAGGTATGGTAATATACTTCAACAATTTCTTCATAAAATTAAAGCAGGGAGGGTGTTTACTTGCCGATCAGCCTTTCCTCTGTCGTTCGTAACAAACAAGATACAAAAGTTCAACACTACGCCGCACACTTTGAAACTTAATTTTTGTTTCTATCTAAAGTTCTTATTCTATTGTTTTTGGAAAGTGCTGCTAGAATCGTATGGTTTACGGGAATTAATGCATTTTTTCGATGTTATGAACAAAATGTTATTTTAGGAAGGTTTCGTCAGAAAGTGTTGAATAATTATTTCTGTGATAGGACAGTAGGATTCTAGCAGCACTTTTCATGGTACAGAGATGTTTTTACATAATTATTATTACAAATTGAAATTAATTATCCCCGGGGTAGTGTTGAACTTTTCACTTTTTCATTAAGGCATATTTTCTAATTATAGACGTCACGTGGTGACGTCGTGGTGAAGTGCTTCATGTAGTATATGTCCCATTGAAGTCTATAGAATGCATAATTATAACAAAAGTTTTATGCTTGACTTTTCCGATTTATTAGTGTTACATAAATATAAAAAAGTCTTATTTCGCCGAATTCTGGTCCATGTGCTGCCTTAACATACCCGCGTATATTTACATTTGCAAATGTTTTCCTTCATATAACGAAAGCAAGCGTATTTATAACTGTATAAATACATGTACGGGGTCAAGAGGTCATAGATGTTCGTATGGATAAACGTTTGATGTAATTTCTCAGTGACGTCATAAAGGGTCGACGCGCGTTCAGTGGATTACATACATGCCGTTGGGTTTGAAAAATAATGCATTTCACACGCTAAAAGTCACAATCAGGCAAATTTAAAGTATGAATAAGTCACAAAGGTAAATATAAGTAATAAGGTATCATTTTTTGAGTTTTATTGGGATGTAAAAGGGGTTGGCACATTATCAAAATTGTTTAACGTAACGACAAAATATATTTTAAAAGTGATTTATAACTTAATTTTGATCTCATACCATTATTTGAAATATGACTAAAAAAAAATAATTGAAAGGATTTTTATATGCTCTTGGATGATAGATTATGACAGTTCCCGAATGGTTTTTTCATGGTTGCTCATCAAATGCAGCTGTCTTTGTATCCCTTATTTTAAAGCATACCTTTGCCTTGCCTAAATACAGAAACAGTGCAGTTCATGTAACTTCTGTATTTTCTGTACATAAATATGACATTATGGCGCAAGATGATAGTAGTATTTGTCATTTGTTCGACTGCTTTCCATGTTAAAAAGATGGTATTTTTAGGTTAACTTTCTCAATTCTAGCATCATGAAAGATACCGTCCAACGCAAAATTTCAAAGTTTCAGACCATAAATGTAAAAGAAATTTCTTTTCAATAGTAACAATTTATTTTGTTGAAAGATAATCGATACATTATTATACTATCCTTTGACATGTGATCTTTATGCAGTTTTGTCATTTTCCGGCGCTGCATTTCGACAAAACTGAGACAAGTATGGAAAATGTGTAAAGTACTTAGAAAAATTCTCATCTTTAAGATGTCAATTTGAACATTTCAACTAAATAGTTTTGAAAAAACTCGATTAATTAATTTGTAAATACCTATGGTAGAATCATACATATGTAACATCATATAATTTATAAACAAATTCCCTTTTCAAACATCGATTTTTAAAACTTAGATAATGATTTTAGAGAATGTGACCTTTCACATGAAATATTTAATAATGTAAGGGTTATGTCTGGTACTGAAGCACGATAATTTTGAGTTTTATTGCAGGAATAATGTGACCTTAAGGATATTCGATCCTCAGTCAGGAAGGATAACTCCAAACATTAATAATTAATTTGATATGCATCAAAATGAAGCTTGGAAATTAAATTTTTTTATGCAACAATTTTCATTTTACATGTATTCCTCTTTATAAGATTCAAGGTTTTTTGGAAGTCTTAGAAAAGGTCTTATAAAAGTTGACATTTGTACCCTATAAAAGGAAAAAAAAAGATACACTTTTAATTGAACATTCAAAATAAACGCATTTGACACCACAGACTCTTGTATTTCATATGAGTTTTGTTCTTCCTCTACTCTCTCAACTGTTCTCCTGACAACAGTGACAACACGTTTCTTTTTTCAAATTTATTAAATCAACAGACAAAACATCACACAATTACAATTTACGATTTGACAAAAATGGACAATGGAAGTAAATGGCCACATTTTGTGTTGCAGGTCCTCCTCAATTTTACCAACAACGGAAACGGAAGTTGATTGTATTAGATAAGTCGTACCAAGTAATGTTGCGACCAAATTAACTTGTACTTAGTATAAGTATATCAACAATAGACTTTTCGTCAATTAAATGTGATTATTAAATATGTTAATAAAATAATCTGTCTCAGAGAAATAAGATTTCCGTGAATCCAGCCTTAGATACCCAACTGAGAGATATAACTCCGTATGCAGATATGAAGGTATAGATGCACTTCTGAATATATAAGGGAAGTTGTTGTTTGAAAAGTTTGTCATCGCATTTATCATAAAACGGTGCTGTTGGATAACCATTAACGACTTTTCAAATATGAAACAGATGTGTCCGACTTTATGCTATCTATTATTTCAAGCTCATTGGGATATATTTTATCTGTATAAGAATAGAAATTACAATTGTTAATTGTCGATATGTCGTCGATATTATCTAAATGTCGATTTAAATGCCAAAGAGTTTTTTTTTTGTTTTCACGTATAAAATTTTGAACAAATTCTGCTTCATACAAAAATAGGTCTGCTAATAGCGTGACTCTATTGGTATCCATGGAAATTCCATGGAAGACCTGGTCTCCAAAAACCACATGGATAATTTCAATCAGTAACTCGAGCACTTTTTTAAGGGGACGAAGGATGTATGGTCACGTGACTCAGTTTAATTACGTCATAATCTCTGATAAAATATGTAAAAAAAACAGATTGAAACCACAGTATTTGGAAGAAAAAAAAATGACTGTTTGTTTGAGTTCACCATCTTGTATAAAAATATTTAAAAACATTCAAAATTTCTCGCAAATATTTTCAAATTGCGGAATAGATTGATCCACTCTTCTGTTTCCCTACACTGCGCGTCCAACGAGTCGCTGACGTCATAGTGGATCTTAGTACAGTAAGATTAAATACAAGGTAAAACACGGGTAGTATAATATCATAAAAACGGGTCATGATTAGTACATGGTGGGATATTTTATGAATTACAGATCACAAAAAATATTTTTACATGGTTGTTGCGGAAATATATTGTAGTTAATATATCTTACTTGGCTTATTTCGCAAATGTGTGACGTCATAGTAGGGTTTTCCCGTACTCGAGAAATGTAAACATGACAGGTTTTTCTCATGCTCATGCCTTGTTTAATCATGCCCTGTGGAATATTGAGCTCAGCTTCACCGGTCGATATTTTTGCAGTTAGTCAATAGCATTATGAACTTGCATTTCGACGTAATATTTCAAATATTGAATGATAGGATTTTTTGTAAATTA